AATCTGTGCAGAATTAACAATAAACTACTTTTTTCGCAAAATGTATAAAGGACCCTTTTATTTTTCAAAGAAAAACTGTGCGTCAGATATTATTTTACCATATATGTAATACTTCTATATTGGCAGTAAGCTAACATCTCAATGTGTAAGCATTCCGAAATCAAAGCGAGACAGTCTAGTACCGTTTTTGTCAATGTATTGTGTACTTGAGTGCCGTTTTTGTATATGTGTTGTGTACATGTTTATTTATATACGTGTGTGTTCCTTTTCTTTCGTACGTCGGGGTCATTTAGAGGTTCTAGGACCATTCCCCGATAATCCCGAGCTATTCTTTTACATACTCTACAAGGTCAGAATTGGTAAAAGGGAATGCTGTGGAGTGATAATAACTATGATTGACGAAGGGTCCCAAGTTTGGTATGCCGACGGATCAAAGATGGACGACAAGAGTACTGTGGCAGGCGTATTTGGGCCAAGATTCCAGAAAACTATGTATATTCTAGGCGGAAGTCTTCGCAATCGAAGTCTGTTTAGAGGGCCCCATTTGTGCAAAATAAATATTATGTTGGATAGTCAGGCAGGTGAAAGGCCTTAGCTGTTTTAAAAACGGCGTCGGGCTTGTGGATAGCTGTAGAACTCTTTTGAACCACTTGGAAGCCCACAATAGCGTAACGCTGTGGTGGGTTCCGGGACATGAAAGGTTCGAAAGCAACGAAAGCGTTGACTGTCTCGCAAAGCGTGGAGCCCAAATGGTCCTAGCCTTTTGTGAGCTGGTGGAGGAGACTCCAGAGCATATTCTATGTGACTGCCCAAGTATCATAAATAGCAGACTGATACACCTTGGGGAACGACTGCCTTCTTCATCTAAAATTTGAAACTTGGCGCCCTTCAAAGAGCATAACTTCTTAAATAGCCTAGGGTTGGAGTGATTACAATTAGGGTTAAGCTCAATAGATCTTCTTAGATCGCAGCGCGAGTATCCCCGACGCAATAATAATAAGAATAGTAATAATAAAAACGTCAAGAACGCCTTCAACTCGACAAGATGGGACGACATTCTGGAGGCTTTGGAACGGTCATTCAAGGTTCCAATATACTTGCTAGATATGATCCGGGAGTACCTCAGAGACCGTTGGCATTTGTACGACACAACACAAGGTCAGAGAAAGAGACGTATAACCGGCGGATCGGCACAGGGGTCTGTACTTGGCCGGGACCTCTGGAACGCCACGTATTCCGGAAATGTCAGAGAGCGTCTTCCTTGTCGCCTTCGCGGACGACGTGGCCGCCGTCATAACAGCAAGAAACGTCCAGCTAGCACAGCTCAAGTTAAACCAGGTCATGCGCAAAGTCAGTGGATGGATGAGGGAACACGGTCTGCAATTGGCTACAGCCAAAACAGAGATCGTGCTCCTCACAAGGAAACGGATCCCAACAATTATAAACCTGATGGTCGCACCTCAGCTCGTGACAACTTCTAGGTCTACAAAATACCTAGAGGTGAAGCTTGAGAGCCAACTCACATTCTGGGATCATCCATGCAGTATGTGAAAAAGCTGCGCAGAGCACGGTGGCTCTAAGCCAGCTGATGGCGAACGTGGGCGGCCCGAAGCCATTCCGCAGGAAACTTCTGATGATAGCAGTCCAGTCGGTGCTCCTGCATGGGGCAGAAATATGGGCCGACGCATTGAAAGCAAAATGTCTTCGGTCCAGCGCAGAGGGGCACTACGCATTGCTTCTGCATACCGTACAGTGTCC